CACCAGTGTCTAAAGCTTTTAGCACTTCAACACACCATTAAAATGCGTAATGAAACTTTATAGTACTGTAGTTCTATTTTCATTAGACATACAGCTATAAATGTATCGGGGTCAGCCATCTAAAACTGCTTTTAACACAATATATAACGGGATAACTCTATTCCAGTAATGAATCAGTAAATAATTGCAAGCAACACATCCAAAAATTCTCCAACATTGTCCAGTGCTGCATATAAAATTGTAATTACCTAAACTTTTGGAAAAGCATCTTTTTACATGATATTTAGTTTTCGAGGAATTAGAAAGGAAAATAGGTCAGCAGATGTCACACGCCTCTCCTGCAAAGAAAATAACACCAGGCTAGAATCAGCAGAGGATATAGACAGATTAAAGGTTCAGGAGCTGGTTATTGTTCTATCAATCCCAACATCAGAGATTATAACTTGTGTTAGTTTTATCAAAGCCCAGTCAGCTTTTCTACACCTAACGTTTTGGCAGGCCTGAGGTCTGCACAGAGCGAAGCCTGGAGCTACTAATTAGAATGCTGCCTCCTCTTCTCTGTCTGTACTCTTAAAGGATTACCAAATGTCTCTCTGTTGTTTTTCTCCCCTCTAATTAAATGAGATGTTCTTTGAAATCATCCATCTGTTAACAAATTGCAATCAGTTCAAACCATCTTACTTTACACAAAAAATAATTGTTGCAATTCGGAACTGTAGTCAGCTTTTGACTTGGAAAAACATGGATGTATTTCACAGCCAAAAAACAAGAGTTTATTGACGTTTTTTTCAAAACTATGTTCTAAACTAAAATGTTTCTGTAATTTTGAATGGTGTTTAGATCTGTAACTTAGCATGCATTTTGTTTGTTTCTAAAGCTTTGGATGGCTGCTACTATGAAAATTAGCTATATTCCCAAAACCCAACAACCATAATTTCTCAACTGCTCGCCATCTTTTCAGATCATTGAGGGTCAGTTTAATGTATGCCATTACTGTGGCTGCGCTTACTGTTGGCAGTCAGGACAGGATGATGATGGAATACTGTCTCTGAGTTATGTAATTGCACAATTGTGTGATGGTTAGAAGCATTGAGACCCCATTGGTAAATAGCCTGTTCACTGTGCAAGGGAATTTGCACTTTGCAATGGAATTTTCACCCCATTTACTAAGCTAAGGCAAAATTGCACCTCAATTAATTCTGAATGATCTTAGAAGCATCTTAAACTGATGCCATTGATGCAAGCTGAAAGCCCATCAACACTATTCCTAATTCAGACACCCTTATCTCCCACTACATATACCCCTTCTTCATGGATTTGTGTAATGGTGCATGTGTTAGACGGTGCTTCTAATGTAAAAAAAATATTTTTGATTACATTTTCTTATGTTTCCAAAGGCTGCCATTCGAAAAGAACTTAATGAATTTAAAAGCACAGAAATGGAAGTACATGAAGAAAGTCGACAGTTTACAAGGTGACAATCTGTTTGTTTTCTATCTTCAAATCAATGTATTAGGAAAAATTAACATATACCATATTTCTTTCATTTACCAACATAGTTTTATTATGGTATTGGACACTGTTCGGCATTATATATACTGCACCTTCTTTTTCTTGGTAAAGTTAGGCTATACCCCCGTATGCAAGCCCACCCTATTTATAACACCAGGAGGCTTACATACATGGGGAGATTCTTCTTACAGTTCAAACACATGACAGATGTAACATTAGTTGTGTAAAATGATCAATGACTTCTAGGAATGGGAGTTATTGGTTAAAACAATTTATTTTAGGTTTAAAATGATTTCCTAGAGGTGTCTACTTTAAACAAAATATCGACCTCTCAATCTCACCCAGTTCCTGCTTTTACTTCCCAGATGGGGAATTGACTATCCTGAGTACTCGAGTAGCTTTGGACTCTTCTATGACGCTAGACTCTTTTACTGTATTATTTCTATTTCCTCGACTGACCATATATCCCTAGTCAGTGAGAGATTTTTCTTATTTACATATGATCCTGTGTCCCTTAATGAACCATAAAGAAAACAGGATTTTTGTACGTACCATAAAATCCTTTAAATGGAGTTCATTAAGAGACACCAGTCCCACCCATCCATGTTTTGTGATCTACTGTTGCATTGCTTTCTACAAAACTGAAGCATGATGGGATCAGGAGGGGTTATACCTCCCGATTTGTGTCCCTTAATGAACTTCAAGAAACAGATCCTGTTTTTCCCTGTACATAATTGAATGATTTAAGTTTGCTAAGTAAACATCCTCTACTCCTTTACAAAAGCTACTCCTTTTTGTCATGACGTTACTTATGTTGTGTGTTGTCGAGCAGCTTCACGGTGTAGTCTAATAACCATATGTAGATAGCCTGTTCACTAAAATACAATTTAATGTTTTGTAATCTCGCCTCTTAATTGTTTGTTTCTTGGTATAGATTTCACCGTCCGTAATGGAAAAACAGCAAGTTATCCTGGGAGTTCATATTCAGGAAATGGGAATCTTCCCATAAATTAACACTGTACTGAACCTTCTCAGCATGGGCACATTTATGGAGCTTAAATGAATACCATGAAGGAAGGGCAAAGGACAAATTACTGGAAAAGCAGCGGCCTTTGTATGCTCTAGATTTCCCATGATTGTAAAGGTGAACTTTGGCTAATATGATAAAAAATCTGAACTGACCATTTAGCCAGGATTCATATAACAGTACAGTGTTGGGTTATCTGGCTTGACATTGGTTATCACTGTTCTGCACCTTTCTCACCATTTTTAAGTGTTACATGTTTCTTCCCAATTTGTCAATGCCAACAATGAGCAGCTGTATTGCTTGCTGAGTAACTTGTAACTTCAGAGAGGATAGCTGCCGGCTTATGTTTCACAAGATAATTTACTAATGGTAATGATAAGAAGGATTATCTCATCTAAATATTAGACATCCCTTTGTTTTCTTTATTACTTCCTAATGAAAGGATGAACGGATTTTAAATAGAAATTGCTCCTGGAAATTATAACACATTCCTCCGAAAAGACCTTGGAAAATACCCAGAATCCTTTGCTATTGCACTGTGCCTGGAAGACAATTAAGTTCTAAATGGTTTTGAAAGCTCAAAACGCTTTCTCCTGAACAAAAAGCTGTTGTGCTGAAACCAATGCAGATCCAGTGTTTAAACTTGAAGACAATGACAGTCTGATCACAGTCACTCCACACTACCAGGCTTACAGTAATATTGGCTGGTCTGTCTGAACCACAAGAATATCGGCACATAAATCAATAATTATCTCGGGCATGCACTCCTTTGTGTAAAATATGAACTGAAGCATGTCAATGACAATGTAACTAATTGTATTTTAATGTATATTATGTATGTATTCCATAGGGCCCTGTGGTTATCTGCAAAGTTTACACTAAAATATATGATACCATATAAATAGCACTTAACTCTACTGAAGGGCAGAACAGATTCAACAACATGTACCATGTTTAACATAAAATGTCACCAGATATATTGAGGACACCTAAAGGAAGCCAACGTGTTCTTTGCTAGTTTTAACTGTATATTTTTAGAAGAAAACTAAGTTTATCCAAAGCATGTGTTAGTTGAGATACATCTTCTGGAAGACTGAAGACATTCTTTAATATTGTAATTTATTCTAATGTTAGTTTTAGGTTCTGTTCACAGAAGAACACTGAAATGCAAGCAGTGTGAAAAGTGCACTTGACAGGTGGTAATTAAACAAATCTTTAGGTCAAGGAGCAATAAAGAAAAGTAACCCATAAGAATCAAACAAAATTCAGTATGTATCTGTGTATTGTAGTTAGACAAATGAAAGCTGATTTGCAAATGCTGTGAGCTACTTTCAGCGCTCATTTACACTGTTGCGTTTCAATGCATGCCTTTCGATGCACTAAAACACATGCTTCATAATAAAGATAGCATCTGTTCCCATCTCAGTGCTGCAGTGAAGAGCATTTTTAAAAATGTGACATGTCAGATTTTTTTTCTGCGTTTTAGTGCATAGGGAGGCCCATAAAAGCCAATGGCAAAACATCAAAATGCATGACAACGCATCTGCGTAACCCTACAAAAACACACCTCTACACATGCATAGATCTAAAAAGCCTTTTATTGTTCTTGGAATTGTGTTATTATAGTGGAACTCCTTGCAAATAAAAAGCCACTCACAGGTCCAGTTAATTATTCATTTAATAATATAAGGATAAAAGCTGGAAATCTGTCTTTATATTATCTTCCCACAATCCTCAGCATAGAAGATATCGAATTGAGAGGGGGAGGTTGTGAACTAATAGCCAGTCGGGCTCTGTTGCACTGAGGCGTGCTGTCGATCTGACAGATGACACAGAAAGCTGCAAAACGGCAATAGGAATTAGTGGTGTCACCCTGCTGGCTTAGCAGTATGTTTGTGAACAGGTACAAATGTTTTGGAAGGGGTAGCTCTCACATACAGTATATGTATTAGCTGTTTGGAGTTCTACATTAATCACACAGTTTAGTTATTTATAACTAAATTGAACCAACATCTGAAAAAATAATTTGAAGAATTAAATTGCCATATATTGTATTTTAATTTAGTAGTGAACATGGAGCTAACGTTTACAGAATTTTAATTTGGTAGGTCCCTCACCTGAGCAATTGTGGGCGACACATAGTTAGGTCTGCTTCAATGAAACAAGCAGGCTTTAGAGAGGATGGGTAGGGTGCATTATAAAAAAAACAGGTTATATGGGTGGCATGTTCACTAAAGCTGGCATGTTAAAGGCACCGTGGAGGGGGGCTACTTTTGTTTCCCGTGGAACAGGAGTAAGCTTGGAGAAGTGGCTACATTACAACACACACAGGGACCATCTGGAAAAAAAGTAGCCACCCTCCAGAAGGAATGACAGTGTCAGCACCAATTCAGAGATGATTTGAGGATCTACAGCTGAGTGATACACAAATAAGATACATTTATGTTAATAGCTAGGGTACTTGAATGTATTATTAGGATTTAACTCCTGAATTTAGTGTCACTTTTGGTCATCTGACTTGATAAAGCTCCACCATGGCATTGGTACATGGGCTCTGCTGATAGGGGTGTTTCTTCAGCCTTCCACACATCTACCCTGCCTCCCTTATGTCTGCCTGTAATTCTAACTTTTCTAAGTATTTTAGGCCTGCTTTAAAACATTGCAGGTATGTTCCATGTTATCATTCAGCTTAAAGAACCTTCGATATTGTAAATGAAATGTGGTAGATTGTGAATTAGACAGCTCAAGAAGAAGTAAGTATTTTCAGTAATCCATAGCAGAGTCAGATAAATGTTTTCTGAATTATTGCTATGAGTCACTATACTTTGCACATCATCTTGGAAATTGTCTAATTCAATAAACTAATTTTTATATGTTCATGTCACAGGCATGAGGCAGTAATACATGTCTTTGAGGTTTTTTGTTTTATTGTAAAAAGCTTTACAATAGTGCCATTTGCTATAAACAAGGCCACTATCTGTTTACTGCCAAACTCAAATCATGATCACAACGCTTTAACAGTGTACAATTTGTGTCTTACAAAATATGCTAATGCCTAAATTATCAGTATTAGAATTGATTTTCTATCATAAGATTGTATATAAAGATATTGTAGTTAGTTGTGTTTTAATATTTTAAATGGTAAAAGCAAAATTCTGAAAGTTCTGAGGCATGTAGCCTACATTACTGGCATTACCAATATGCAAATGGATTGTGTGTTCTACAGACAGCGGAAAAGTCTTAATAACTTCTCTAAGAGATTAACGCACGTGAAAAAAACATGACAATCTTCCTTGATGGTTTAAATTCTAAAGTATGACAAGGTATAAAACAGGGTATATATGCTATGAAATTTCATCACTATCGAAAGATCACTTTATAAAATAGATTCTGAAATATGGAAGTCATTACACAACTGACTTTTACTGAAATACCTATTTGAAAAAAATTGCTGTCCTATCTGAGCCGGTGTTTAGAGTGTCTTCATAGGTTGATGTATTTATGTATGTAAGCATATTGATGTAATGAAACCAGTGACAGATTCACTATACTTGCACAGCATGATTTCTAAAATATGCAGTTTGTTTTGAGTATTGAAAATGTAAGCATTTAATATAGCATGTAGACTTTAGTCAAGGTGCAGATGTTTCTGACTTTCTGTACCATTGCCTGTTTGATGGGATGTGCTTAAATGCAGCTTCTATTGTCTTGTCATTTGAAGATACTTTGGTGAAATGTGATTTTTGGTGGCTGGCAGTTTGTTAGATAGCTTTTTATGTTTTTTTAGGACTTTGTTGGCAAGATGTCTGCCTACAAGTTCTGTTTGCCTTCCTGCATTGGCCATTACAAGATAGTTTCACTCCAGATGAATTCAGAGAAAGCAGGCACAAAGTTAGATCTTCATGCCTTGGCTTTGAAATCGTTGTGATGGAGGTCTAAGCTAATAATTTTAGTGGGTAGCCCTAACGGCTGTGACCCCTAAAAGATGTAACAATCAAAACATTCATGCGACCGATGTTCATTAAAAATTGAAATATCTGTTTTTTTGGACAGTTTAAAACAACAAAGTTGTGTCAAGGTGTGTAGAATGTATCTTATTCATGAGTGGCTGTGTGCATGTTGGTAATTTTACAAGATTACCTAAACAATGTTTAGTCTATGTACACAATCATTGCTTCAAAACATTATTTTGTGAATGTTAAAAAACAGAGTACATTCTGCTTCCTTTAGCTGGCATCAAGCAAAGAGGCATTTCCTTCTTGGCATAGGGACCAGTAATCTTCAAAGAATGATTACTACTCCTCTGTTCTTGGCACACCAAGATTAAGAACTAAGGTTGTTCTTAAAGATTCCTAAGCAATTTTGTAATAAAAAAATAAAATAAAGATCGGTATTGGCTTCATAGTATTTCCATAAAAAAGTAGATTATTCTTGAAAATGAGTGGTGATGTTGATAGTTTATAAGTAAAAAAATGGATAACTAGAGCAATAAAGAGAAATAGGTCTGTCTTTACAGGCTACAAAGGTAAGATTATATTGTACAAAACATAAAGCTTACAATAGAAATATTTAAATATGACATCCTTAGACAACTATTAGTATGCCAAAATTATCATACAATTCACAGGCATTTTCAGAAAAAGTTCTACTTTCGTTTATTGACTCTGTGGGGGTGATTTACTAACCTAAACACACACACACACCAGGTGTGTGTGATTTTCACACAGCAAAACGTATTTATCAACCAAAAAGTCTCTAAAAGCATATTTCCACTAATGCCATATATGGAAAAATCATGCACATGATGCATATATAATGCTGCTTCACAGTTTAGACAAAAATGGTTAGCTCATGCATTTACATTCCTGCATTCATCAACGCAAGCAACATAACATAGAGCTAATTTACACCACATTACCTTGCAATTCATTGCAGGGCTTTGCACAACACACCTGCTGGGTGTGTACACACTACAAAGGTGTTTCGATTCCTCCCATAGATCATGCTGGGAGGGAACACACTACAGAGGTGTATACACGTTCGTGGTGTG